AAATTTCATTTAGGAGACATTTAAAGTGTATTTGGAGGTGCGCATGTTCAGCCAAGCATCTAAATGTCATTTAGGAGACATTTAAACTAGGGATGCCATGCATCTCAAATGACTACTAAATGAAACCTAGATTTTAGCTTCTTGGCCTATTTTAGTATTCCTTCAATATTCCTATTCTAAGGGCCTAAATACAATGGCCAACCTATCAAAAATATTAGGAAATAATAAAATAAACAAAATGAGCCCAATATTGGGTACTAAAAGCCTAAAGGCCTATGAAGCCCAAAAATAGGCCCAATAAGCCTATGGCCCAAAAATGCTAATCTATGTGGTCCAAAATACAAGACCAAAACATATGAAATCTATACTAATATAATATATACAACATAGAATAAAGTAGATATCTCAAGGTGGGGCCCATGTGAGGATCAACTTGGGCCTTTCAAGCCCATTGGGCCCATTGGGCTCTGTCTGGCCCAAAATCTTCATGTCTAGCCCATTCCTCTTGGATCTTTCAAGGTGTCACCTCTTGCCCTCCTAGGCATGATTCCATCATTCCCTCCCTCTTGAAAAGGATTTTTCCTTAAATCAGGAGGATCTCTATGACAAATATCATGACCTACAATAATAAAATACCATACATGAGGGTGACATGTTCAATGGGTGGAAATGAAGGATATATCCTAATAGTAATCACCCTAGTAAAGAAATTTACACTAAAAACACTAGACTCTCTAAAGTTAGAAATAGGATCCTTACCTAGGAAAAGTTTATATGTGTAACTAAATCCTAAAAATGTGATGAAACTAAGACTATAACAATTGAAAGAGTTATTCCTAAAAACTAAAACATCTTGCCTAAGCCCGTGAAACTAGGGATGCCATGCATCTAAATTTCATTTAGGAGACATTTAAAGTGTATTTGGAGGTGCGCATGTTCAGCCAAGCATCTAAATGTCATTTAGGAGACATTTAAACTAGGGATGCCATGTCTTAACACAAGATGACCTCGGGCACACGCTACGCGATGTCAGCTCGGCATTTGAGCAGACCATAACTGATCCCTGAGAATCTCGTCCTAGACGAGGCCCGTTACCTAACCATATTATATCTTATCTCAGGCCCAAAGCCAAAGGCAACCCTAAAACACACCAAGATACGTGCATTATATATACGAGACTTATACTTGTCGCCACCGGCCCGAAACGGGCTTTCGGCATTCCTTGGCCTATTTTAGTATTCCTTCAATATTCCTATTCTAAGGGCCTAAATACAATGGCCAACCTATCAAAAATATTAGGAAATAATAAAATAAACAAAATGAGCCCAATATTGGGTACTAAAAGCCTAAAGGCCTATGAAGCCCAAAAATAGGCCCAATAAGCCTATGGCCCAAAAATGCTAATCTATGTGGTCCAAAATACAAGACCAAAACATATGAAATCTATACTAATATAATATATACAACATAGAATAAAGTAGATATCTCAAGGTGGGGCCCATGTGAGGATCAACTTGGGCCTTTCAAGCCCATTGGGCCCATTGGGCTCTGTCTGGCCCAAAATCTTCATGTCTAGCCCATTCCTCTTGGATCTTTCAAGGTGTCACCTCTTGCCCTCCTAGGCATGATTCCATCATTCCCTCCCTCTTGAAAAGGATTTTTCCTTAAATCAGGAGGATCTCTATGACAAATATCATGACCTACAATAATAAAATACCATACATGAGGGTGACATGTTCAATGGGTGGAAATGAAGGATATATCCTAATAGTAATCACCCTAGTAAAGAAATTTACACTAAAAACACTAGACTCTCTAAAGTTAGAAATAGGATCCTTACCTAGGAAAAGTTTATATGTGTAACTAAATCCTAAAAATGTGATGAAACTAAGACTATAACAATTGAAAGAGTTATTCCTAAAAACTAAAACATCTTGCCTAAGGTACCCTAAATAGTGACCTAGGCATTTCCTAGACAATAAAAAAAATACTACTAGAAAATTTCCTAAACAATTTTGAATCATATTGTTTGTTAGATAATTATGAAAAGATAATGTCCCATGGAGTCTTCAAAACTCATATAAACCATTTTTGTCTTGTAGGGAAGGAGGCAAATTAAGTTCAAATAAAGATGAACTTCCGATAAGATCAAAAATAGAATACGAAACATTACAACATGTATCTATCAAACAATATATTCCAAAAATTGGGTGCTTTATTAGGACAACTAAGGTAGAAGGAGTCCTAAAGAAAGGGGGGCTATCTTCCTTGGGCACCTCCAAGGAAGTAGCACAAGAAGTAGAACTAAGTGTAGTCCACTCCTTCTTCACTACATCTTGAAGTTGAGATTCTTTTTCTTTTAAAATAATTTGTTCTAGAATATCTACTTCATGACTAGTGGTAGCATAAGGGTAAGAGTTAAGGTTTTTATGTAGGAAGAGAGTATTTTTCAAATGGTTTTTAGCGATAGAACAACTCTTTTCATTCACAAGTCCTTTAGAGGAGATATTTTCCTCCTTACTCTTCCCTAAGAGACATATCTTTTCCCTTTCTTTTCTCAATTTTATTTTTGCCAAAAGTTTTTCTTCCTTTTATTTAATAATGTGAATTTCTTCCTCTAAAATTGCAAGTCATGCTTCTCTTTCAAGTTTTTCTTTTTCTCTTGTTAACACTTCTTGCTTTGTCTAAAGTTTTAGTGATTTAAGCTCTTGAGTAGGATGTGAAAAACATTTTGGGGAGCTTGAGTCATTACCACTTGATAAATGTTTTCACATGATTAAACAAAAAGATTTTTCAAAAACAAGTTTAAAAAAATTCCTAAAGAAAAAAATTGGCTAAAGATTACTAGTTAAACGTGGTTCTTAAACAACACTAAGCCTTTGGAACTTAGAAATTGTTTCCCCTAAGAGTCAACAAGCAAGCATACAGCAAACTTGACAATTAAAACTTTGAATTTGAAAAATTAACAAAAAGAGAAAATGTTAAGCAAACTAGTTAAATTTCAAGAAGTTTTAAAATGCAATGCATAAAGAAAATGTTTTTGAGTTTTCTAGGAATATAACTAAACACTTGGAGGTCTAAGTATACAAATTGCACTATCAAGGGAGCTGAGCTACTAAGAGCCACTTAATAACCAAGCCTTTTTAAGTGGGAATTACTAAACCCCCTTATGTTAGCTTCAATTCCACAAAACTTTTCACAAATCTTTAATGCTTACTGATTTTCAAAGATTTTCTTGAATTCTATCTAAACGTGAGCAATTAAAACTACACAAGCTAGTTGAATCTACTAGGTACAGCAGTGCAAAGAAAATTAAACAATAACCAAGAGCAAAGATTAACAAGCTAGTCGGTTTCCTCAGTGGAAGCTTGAAATCATATAAAATTTTCAAGTCACTTCCACTAGAACTACACGTGAGTGAGCTATAAAAGGTTTAGATATACTTTACCAGCTTCTTAATACTCCCTCCAAGCTATTACAATTGATTTAAAACAAAGAAAATTGCAAGAAAAAAGTAAACTAAACTAAAACAGAATTTAGAGACGGAATTTGCGACGGAATTAAAGACGGATTTTGTTGTGATAGATTTTCCAGTAACCACAATTGGTCTCTAAATCTGTCTCTAATCTGGACTTCTTTTTTATTTTTCTTGACCTGCAAAATTGAACAAACTAATCACAAAAATTAGGCTTCTCACAATGATGGAAGGTGTGATCACTCTTGTGAAGGGAATTTTAGAAGGATTAGGACAATTTTTGGTCAAATTTCTTTTTAAGTCCTTTGCTTAGTGTTAGCAATCCTTTCCTTCTAGCTTTGGTGAGCAATGTTTGATCTCCTTGCAAGAGTTTATACCACTTCCAGAACTGGATTTTATGAATTGAAAACTTGACAAAAACAAAATGAAATTAGCAAGCTTATACCAAAAGGAGTAGATAAATTGTGGCAAAACTCAAAGATAGCCAATAAAGACACCAAATCTAAAAAAATTAAGACTCTCAAATGAAAGCTAGCACTCAAAATGGAAGATCTTAGAATGGTTCTAGAGTGGATTAATAAAACCAAAAAATATTTGTAAAGGAGATACAAAGATTAACACAAGTTGCTAGATCCATACTTCATGAATTTTGGTTTCTTGTCTTTCTTGTTATCCTTCTCAGCTTTTCCAATTTTATTTGATTTTTTTTTTTAACTTTGTTCATCCAATTGAGATGAAAATTCAGAGATGTAAGTTTCCTTTTACACCAAAATTCTCGCAGCAAATAATAATAGAAACCGGATCTATCAATGTAAGCAACTTCAAGTGAAATTTTCCAATTCTAGTGCACTAGTAATAGGTTTTGTTTTGGATTATTTTTTTGTAATTCCTTTACCTTTTTTTTAAAGTATTTTGAACTCAATTTCTCTGTTTTTCCTCTTTATTCCAGCCACTATATTTCCAGAATTTGAATCCAATTGAATCAATGCACTAGAAATAAGAATTTCACTTAACAATTTCAAGCAAATTGATGAGAATTTTGGAAGCAAATTGAATTTGAAAACTATTCAAGACTTAATGGAAACCAAACTCAAAGAATCCATTAATGGTCTAGTAATGGACATGAAATCAAACATGAAAAAAAAATGACAAGCACCAAAACACCAAACAAGAACAAGACTCGACCAAACTTGAAAATTCAAACAAACAAATTCCAAATAAGATCAACTAAGCATGTCTTGAATTTTCTTGACAAAATAATAACTACACATGACTCTAGACAACTTCAAAGATTCAAAAAAATAAAAATTACATACAATTAGACTCAAATGACCGAATCAATTAAAGAAAAATAAAAGAAGACTCAAACAATTCAAAAATTGGCACAAGTAGATTCCTAGACACTAGTGAGATTGCGGATTGAATCAAAATGCAATCACACCATTTGGATCCATCAAAATATTTTTCAAAAACTTAGATCCAATCAAGGAAACTCAAATGAAAATTTCAAATCAAATTTTCCAGAATGGAATCGGTGAAAGAGTCACCTAACCTTCAAGGACTTCAACCATGCTCTGATACCAAAAATGATGGAACTAGGTAGGAAAAATGAATGGATGATTCTCCCTAGCCTTGCTCCTCACAAGATCTTCGTCCTTGATTTCAATTCTGGAGGAGAAATGAAAATGGATTCGGATTTGGAAGGATCCAAACCAAGGAAGGAAGCACTCTAGCCTAGGAGAGCAAAGGATTGCTCACGGATCCACCTAGAAGTTCTAGGAATTCATAAGGCTAACCAAGGTTCCAAGGGACTTTTGAGAGAGAAATGGCTGAAGATAGAATTCATATTTCTCAAAGTGTTTACAAAGAGTGAAGAAACATGTATTTATAGAACTGGAAGCAAGCTGGGTGGCACCAACTTCACAAATCACATTTGGTGCCAAGAATTCAAATTTCAAATGAAAATTTTGAATTCAAATCCATGGCCACCATGTGCAATTCCTTGAAACTAGGGATGTCATGCATCTAAATGTCATTTAGGAGACATTTAAAGTGTATTTGGAGGTTCACATGTTCAGCCATGCTTGGCAAGAAACATGAGATCCAAATGTATCTCAAATGACTACTAAAAGAAACCTAGATTTTAGCTTCTTGGCCTATTTTAGTATTCCTTCAATATTCCTATTCTAAGGGCCTAAATACAATGGCCAACCTATCAAAAATATTAGGAAATAATAAAATAAACAAAATGAGCCCAATATTGGGTACTAAAAGCCTAAAGGCCTATGAACATGCGTGCCAAGCACGACACCGACCTAGCAGCAATGCGTACCGCTAATGAAGCTGACCTGGCGGCGCTACGCGCCGAGAACGAGCGAATCCATGCTCAACTCCCTCGACACCACTCCGATCATCCTCCTCATGTGAGCAGCCACCACGAGGAAGAAGAACATTCAGTCTCTCAACCTCGGACTACAACCAAGGCACCAACTCAACGACCTGCCACGCATCAGTCTCACGCACCGACGCACAAGTAAGCCCATGAAGTCAGCAAGGTCCCTACTTATACCGCGGGGGATCAGGCAACTTTTCGCCGCCACCCTTTTGTGGATGGCATTATGGAGACACCACTCCCTCACGGGTGGAAGCCTCTCCACCTCGACCGCTATGATGCACGACAGACCCAGATGAACACATCGACCTGTACACAACACAGGTAAATCTCTACACCAACAACGATGCTATCTTGTGTAGGGTGTTTCCGACTTCACTTAAAGGGGCCGCGCTCAACTGGTACACCCAATTGCCTGCCGAGTCCATTGACAGCTTCGGCACCCTAGTCAGGAGGTTCACCGCACAATATGCGACGAGCCCACCTCACCATGTCACTTCAGCCGCCCTGGCCAGTCTCAGGCAAAATGACGACGAACCACTCCAGGCATTCATGGAACGATTTGTTGCCACCTCGATCAAGATCAGAAACCTGAATCCCGAGGTTCTACATGCCATGCTCATGGCACTCAAGCCCGGACCATTCGTCAACAGCCTGTGTCGTGAGTCTCCCCGCAACATGGACGAGCTCCGCGCCCGTGCGACAGGTTACATCCAGATGGAGGAACACTCTGACTTCCATGACCAGGTTCGCGGAAAAGGACCAGCGAAGCCAGAGTAGGGGCACAACGATAAGATCAAAGTCAACAACGACAGCCAATTCAAGAAGGCGGCTAGGGTAAACAGACGGGGGAGATATGACTTCTACACTCCCCTGAACGCACCCAGAGGCCACATCCTGGAAAAAGCCCGCAACAACAACCTACTCGCCCTTCCCCCACCAGGTCACACCCCTAACAGCGCCGACAAGTCCAAGCACTGTCGGCACCACAGAAACCACCGTCACACCACGGAGGAGTGCCGCACGCTCCGGGACCGTATCGAAGAGCTCATCCAGGCAGGCCACCTCGGCCAATATATCCAGCGACAGCAGGGCCACCAAGGAGGCTATGGTGGTCGGGGGCGTGGCAGAGGTCGGGGTTCGGGAGCCCGCACGGACCAATCCTTTGGCCCCCAACAAAATGTCGGCGGTGCAGTGCAGGCTGAGATAAGCCAGGAGACAGGGACAGCCCCCTTACGGGGAGTGATTAACACAATTGCAGGTGGTTTCGCTAGGGGAGGCGCCAGCAGCTCGGCCCGAAAGAGGCCCCTACGAAATGTCAACTGCATCCACTCTACCACCTCGACCTCGCACCAAAGCTCACTGCCGATCTCCTTCTCTAACGAGGACTACGCGGGCGTCAGCCCCAACCAAGATGATCTCATGGTTATCGTGGTAGAAGTCGCCAACTAGGAGGTACAAAAGACATTATTGACTAAGGAAGTTCGGCTGACGTCCTGTACTAGCCAACGTTCCTCAGCTAGACGTCCCCCATTCTCTCATCCGACCTCACACGGAGCCCCTAGTCGGCTTCGCAGGAGAGCGAGTTCACACTCGCGAGAGCGTAGACGTACTAACAACCTTCGGTGTACCTCCGGATACAAGGAGAATCATGGTTCAATCCCTCCTCGTGGAGACCAACACCTCCTATAACATCATTATCGGGAGGCCAACCTTGAATCAACTCAAAGCGGTGGTATCCACTCCGCACCTCACCATGAAGTTCCCAGGGAATGACGGTAAGATCATCTCCGTCAAAGCAAATCAGAAGACAGTTCGGTAGTGTTACGCCGAGAGTCTGAAGTTCTCCTCGTCCGGCAAGCAAAGCAAGGAGGATCTCCCCACCGTAGCTCATTAGGTTCCATTTCTCCTCTCTGTATGAACAAAATTGTGCACTCTTTTCCCACCTCAGTCCTTGACTGAGAGGGTTTTCAACGAGGCACACAAAAATGATCAATAAAATTACTCATTCGGCTCAATCCATTGTCTTATTTATTGTTTTTATAAAAGACGAAATCGAACCAACCTTTTTCACTCTCACTAAGGTCGAGTACGAACCTTAAAACCGAGGTCGAGTACGAACCTTAATACTCTAAATCCGAGGTTGAATTCGAACCTTGATGAAACACACATATTACTCTAAATTCGAGGTCGAGTCCGAACCTCGTTAAAATTAAAGGTCGAATATGAACCTTAACGCCCATACCCGAGGTCAAGTCCGAACCTCGCTAAAATTACAAGGTCGAGTACGAACCTTAATACTCTAAATCCGAAGTCGAATACGAACCCCAACACGCTTTGCACAAATTCGAGGTCGAATGCGAACCCTAATACGTCAATCTGAGGCCAAGCTTGAGCCTCGGCATGGTTAAGGTCGGCTCTGAACCTTCGCAACATGTCACTTGACGAAAATCCAAGGACGAGTTCGAACCTTGGTAAAACGCATAAATTCGAAGACAAGTGCGAACCACTTATCCAAGGACGAGTTCGAACCTTGGTAAAATGCAAAGACGAGTACGAACCACTTATCCAAGGACGAGTTCGAACCTTTACAACGTGCTACTTAACAAACATACAAGGTCAAATCCGAACCTTAGCGCAATTCACTCTACTTCAATTTGAGGTCGACTTTGAACCTCGGCGCTAATAAATTAAGGTCGAATTTGAACCTTCACGGAAACACTCACTTAACGAAAAACCAAGGGCGAGTTCGAACCTTGACTTTCTCAACACAAGACAAAGGCATATCACAGCATACAAAAACCTACAACAGACATCAAACGTGTGCCTCAAAATGCGCAAACAGCAAAAATCAAGAGCAAACTTAAGCAAACAACGAAAATATGTATATACAAAGCCATGTTTACAGAGTTCGATACATGAATCCAACAAAACAAAAGAAAAATAAAACACAAAAACATTAACTGGCCTACGCAGAGGCGTTTTCACTAGCGCTACCCTCGAGGTCGTCCTCCTTCACCAACTTCCCGAAGAGGACTACCTTCTCCACGTGCATGGCGGAGAAGCCGAACCCCGGGGCGAGAAGCCTTGCCTAGCGAGCTGCCTTGAGGAAACCCCGCTTGTGTTCAACCACGACAGATCGTTCGATTTCCTCCAGCTTCTTCTCCAGCACTTCCCTCGCCGCCTCCTGCCTGGCCAGCTCCGCCTTCAAGAAGGCGACCTCCTCCTCTTTGCCGCCGATCACGACCTCATCGCAAAGGCGCTTCTCGGTTGCCGCCACTAGCTCACCCTTCAGAGAGGTCACTTCATCCTCCAAAGAACAAACCCGGCCATGGGAAGACGTCACCTCATCTTCGAGGAAGCGCACCCGACTTCGGGAAGAGGAGGCTAGCCCCCGCAGCTCGCCCACCTGAGAAGCATAGTTCTCGTTCAAGCGTAGAGCAATCTCCAGGGACTTCTACACCCTCGCGAAATCCCCCCTCACGGCTCGTAGTTCGACACTTAGGCCCTTGTTCTCCTCCTTGAGGACCTTATTCTCCCCCCTTAGGACCTTGTTCTCATCCCTCAAGGGTTGAACTCGGCCCCTCAGTCTGGCTAAGTCCTCCTGCTGTTTGGACCATTGAGGCTTCCAGTGACCCACAATGGCCATAGCCCTCTGCAGAAGGACCTAGGCAGCGTCAAAACCATCCTCGGGGCCGACCTCATCTATCAGCCCCTGGTCCTCGGAGCTCAGCGAGCCTTGAGGGAAGAACTTCTCAGCGGTCACCCCCGCGCTCCACAACGAGTCCATGTCGGCTGAGGCGCTCACGTGGTCCAACCGCACCTTTGAAAGGCCCTTCCCGAAGCGGTGGGCTAGGTATCGGCTTTGGGAAGCCTCCTGCGACGAGCCAGACGGTGGCGCCGAAGCTGCAGGGGTGGACATGGGAACCCCACGACTCGGCCCTCCGCCACGAGCCTCAACAAAGGCGGAAGCCGGCGTCCCCTGCTCGGCATCTAGAAGATCCACAATAGGAACCTCCGACCTAGCCTGCGAAAACCAGCGCCATGTCAAAAAACAATAAATAAGGTGACATACAGGAAACCACGAAAGTCAGGGAACACTACTTACCTCAGTAGTATGAACAACCTGCTCGGTGGCCAGAACCACCACCCCGGCAGCTTGGGCGACCCGCCCAGCAGTCTGGGTCGCCGCCTCAGCGGCACCTCTCGCCTGCGAAAGACAACCCTAGGTCAAAACACAGAAAAACACAATAGATGACATCAAAAAAGCCGAAGCAACAAGGTATTCACCACCTCGGCAGACTGAGCAGCCTGCTCGGTGGCCGGAACCGCCACCTCGGCAGCCTGAGCCATCTCCTCAAAGGCCACCTAAGGAGCCCCCTTGGGCGGTGGACTCTCGGTAAGGTCCACCGCACCAGCATCAGCAGCCTTGGAGGTCACCTCCTCGGCGTCTGGAGGGGTAGAGGTTCCCCCAACCTCCTTTGCTCCCCTCTTTCTCTTC